ACCCCGCCCCTGCCTGTCCCCGCTTATTTCCCTGGCGAGCCCTGCGCCGGGCGCGCGGCCCTGGTTCGTGCTTTTTCCTGTTCCACCTCCCCAATTTATTTGCGCTGCTCCGCGCTGCTCCGCCCTGCTCCGCGCTGCTCCGCCCTGCTCCGCCCTGCTCCGCCCCGCGGCGCGGCGGTGCGTTTGAATGCCGGGCCCGCCTCTGATCGCGCGGGGCTCCACGGTGCGCCCGCCTTCCACCTCGACAGCGCTCCTTACCTGCGTGTCCTTGCGCAGGCCATGCTACGCAAGACGAACCACGGCCGGGCGTCGCTCAAGCGACGCGGCTCCGGGGAGGACTACGTGTACAACTCGTCCTCGTCCGGCGGCGGGGGCCTCAGCGCCGGCTATGGCTCCGGGTACAGCAACGGGTCCGGGCGCGGCGGCGGTGGGTCCGGCGGCCACGGCGGCCAGTTCAGCACGTCGCCGACGTCACCCTCGCCCTCCGGACGGCGCAGCCGCTCGCCGCGCCCCGACTCGCCCACGCGTCGGCCCCGCGACATCCCCAGCTCCGTCAGGTGAGCTATTGCGTGTAGAATGACGACCCTTTGCCTTTAACTACGTTTTACTTTAAAACTCTGACAAATCACCATACCCAATGAACAAGCGCAATTTTGAAAGAAATTTTACAGCAGAAAAAAAAATCTTTGGAAAGTGCAGTGATTTGAACACGCGCCCCGGACTGCGCCGGCCACCGCTGACGAGTGTTTTGGATGCGTGTTGCAGGCGACGCCCCGGCTCGCTTGTTAGCGCGGAGCTGGCGCCCGGCATTGTGGTGTACGGTCACGTGGCTGACTTGTAACCAGCAAGACCGCCGCCGTACCGCGCTGGATGGGGAGGGGGTGGGGGGGAGGGGGACCTCGTTAAAGTGGTGGCTGCCCGCCGTGTGTTTACACGCACACACACACACACTCACACTCGCGCAGAAACTCCTAGTCACGCGGCGGAGGGTCGGGCAGAGGCTGCTGGCCGAGCCTCTCCCTGCGCGGCCCGCGCACGCCACCAGGCGTGTCTGCGCGCTGTCGTTTATAAGTGTTTTTCAGCTAACGGAGGAAAAAGAAGAAGCGGGTAGAACCTAAAAGTTCCTGATTGGTCGAGCCTTTACCCCCTCTACCGGCATCACGCAGAGGCGGGAATCTGTCGACCAATCAGGAACGTCTGTGTTCTACCCGCCTCTTCTTCTTCCGTTAGCCGAAATACACTATTGTGGCGTCGTCGAACCGACTGATGAGATGAGGGGCGGAGGCGTTCAACAATACCATGTATACATTTTGTGCATATATACGAAGAGGATAAAGCTATATTGTGTACTCATTTAGCTTTACTGTTATTATTTTATTAACAATTACTGTATAGCAAGTAAGCAACCTCTAGACTGTTTTTCTCTTGCCCCCATCTTTTCGAGGGTCATTTTGAAACATTGTTACAAATATTTATAATGACGCGTCCCCGAGTCGACCTCACCGCAACTACTTCATGTTATGTCATAGTGTGTAAAGTCGTTCTCGGTCGGACCCTTGGCTGCTATTGTGCCAAGTGATTCGTCCACATTGTATACTATACTTTATCGATTTCTTTTGGTTTTTCTTGCACGTTCTCTTTTAATACAGTTTTAGTCCTTTTAATTATTTGTTTTTCCCCTTTCTTCTCACCCTTCTTCTCCTCCTCCTCCATGAGCAGGGCCCGCCTTATTTCATTAACGCCCCGCCAACCTAATTAGTGGCGATCAGCGGCACAGAAGCCCCGGCTGCAGGTGGCCCTGCAGGTGCCTCGGCAGGTGCCTCGGCAGGTGCCCCACCTGGCCCTCCGCCCCGGGACAACACCTGGCCGCGCACCTGGCCACACCTGCCCGGTTATGGCCGCAGTTAGCGTTACTGCAACGGGAAACGGCGATACGTAACGACCCCTCCCCACACTACACACGACCCTAGTCGGGGCGACGCGGTGGAATGTGGAATGTTGGCGCTAGGTTTGCTTTTTCCTCCTCATCGGGGAGCGAAAAGAAGCAGGACGCGTCCGCACCGTCCTCGC